TTTATAATATAGTATAGATATTACAGTTCTTCAACGATTAAAGAGAAGTTGTCGATGGCTCCTCAAGAGAACATATATATTCTTTTCAGTTTATTTAAAAATGGTTTTCATATCCACCTGTAATATGTTGGTGATGCAGGGAAAACATCGCTTTAAAATTTTAAAGTAAATTATAACTAATCCATCAGTTATCCAGTGAAGGTAATAAAAGTTACTGATGGATTAATTATAATTTGTTTAAATTTTTTAAAGCCACGTTTTCGGTGCTTGTCGGTTATCGAGGATTAATTATTAAAGTTACCAATGGAGTAATTGTAAAAGTTACCAAAGGATTTTGATTTAAACCTCGTTCACATTTGTATGGAGTGTTATAGCCTAATGGGCCTTAATGGGTTCTCATGGCTTGTAGTCCATTTTATTGTACTTAATCGGATATAATATGAATGACATTTGTCGGTTTCAATAGATCTTGATTGAATATAAAAAAACATTTAATCATTCGTAATGTTTTATTATGTGATAATGGACTGTATTTGGTTCTAATGGACTTTTATTGGTTGTAATAAGCCCAAATTGGTGCTAGTGGACTTTAATTAGTTCTAATAGACCTTTATCGGTTCTAATAATGCTCAGAGGGTTTCTAATTGGCCTTTATCTGTTCGACATGTGTTAATTGGTTGTAATGGCCCATTATTAATTTTAATTGGCTTTAGTCCGTTGTAATAGGCTTTAATGGTTTCTTTTGGACATTAGATGGCCCTAATGGCTTTGATGGGTGCTAAGCTAACATAGACATTATATGTGATAATGACTTTATTTGATTCTAATAAACATTTATTAAATCTAATGGCCCTTAATGAAGTATAATCGGTCTTTATTGGTTTTAATATGCCATAATGGATTCTCAAAGAAATCATTGGTTCTATCAGGTCTTTATTGTTTCTATATACAGTAGTAGATTGTATATACTGTATGAATGTATCTACGTATATATGTATCTACCATACATACGTGTGTGTATATATATATATATATATATATATATATATATATATATATAGAGAGAGGGAGAGAGAGGCACAATCATTTGTTAATCAAGTAAATAGTATTAATTTTGTTAACCGATTTAAGCCTTTCATGGTTTTTAATCAACGGTTGTGATTAAATGGAGATTGTATATGAAAGAAATAAGTTCTCAGATGAGGAAACGAATTTTGATCGGATGTGAGTCAGATGGTTCCTTCAGGTGAAAGGAGAACAAGTATGAGATATGAAGAACATTGATTCAGACAAATGGATTTTATATGTTCCAAAAACAAAATGGCTCAAATCCGAAAATTTTGACCAAAAGATCTGAGGAAATGATAGAGAGAATCCGAAGAGGGAAGATTCAAACGATAATTTCAGAGAAAAGGACTGTAAGACTTGAAACTCTTTAAAGAATTTCAGAATTTTGAAAATAAAAGAAGATATATATATATATATATATATATATATATATTCATTGATCAACTTTATAATCTAATGATCTAATGGTCTAAAGTTGCAAGATGTCAATTTTGTAATTATTGAGAAGTTTCGTGGCGTTTATGAATGTTTAGATCTGACGATTGTAAATCTAATCCAATGGTTGAGAATTGGTCTTACGGGTCTCACGAAAAACCATTGGTCTCACATGATCCCAAGTCAATATATATATTTATATTTATATATTACTTTGTCATTTATAACACTATTAATTTTCAATATTTAACATACCCAATATTACTAACTAACTTATTTAATCTTTGAAAAATTCAAAGGTTTAATAAATGAACCAGTTAATTGATAATCTTTGGAATATGATAATTTTTATATTTCTTTTATTTGGTTTTCTTGAGTTAAAAATGATTTTTATCTAATACACAGTCTTTAAGCAGGGAATGACAACCAGTCCTTGGTTTTGGACAATTTCTTGTCCAAATATGAAATTTGTTTTTGACCTGGTTCCTGCAAACAAAATGATTAGTTTCTAAGTACCTATCTTTTCATGGGTCCTTTAAGGTTAGCAATATATTCAGGGAACCTTTCCATCTTATCATTGGGACAGTCTTTTGTATAACGAAATTTTTTCCCACGGTTATGGCATTTTTTTTGGAAGATGAAGACCTAGGAAATTTGTAAAATTTCTTTTGAAGGCTTTGAGAGTTCAGGTTCTCTTTAGAAGAAAAAGAGTTGTAAAAGTGAGGTGGTTTTGAACCCAAAATGCCTTTTTCATTTGTCTTGTGAGGAATGAAAGTTTGTAAAACATTTTTGCCTCTTTTAGATAAAAGGAAGTTGAGTGAGATAATTTGTGGATCCGATAGATTTACAGTCATTATCTTTTGACATGTTGTCAGTCCATCTCTGATTTGAGGCATGAAGGAAACCATCCAACAATTTGTTTCCTTTTTCAGAACTCCTTTCAAAACCGGTGAATTGCAACAAATGACAATGATGACATTTTATAGCCATCAATGCGTTAAATGTTACAGTCTAACTTTAACGCGTGTCTTTATCTGATATGCTAATCAGTGTCTGCTACTCCTCATTTCAACATTTAAAGTTGATATAGACATTTGTTAACCCAACTCATTCTTCTACGTACAGAAGGAACAATAAAGAAAGTATGGTACTTATAACATAGTACTTTAGAACTTACTTTGTCTGACATGTCAAACATATTGTCATACCAGGATAAGAGTATGTAGAGTTGGTGAGACAAACTGCTTGATAAGTTTGCACTCCAATTCGGCTTACCAGTATTAGCATTTGTCATACTACTTTTGATTTTATCTTATATTGATCTTCTTTTGATTAGATGACAATCCAATCCACCTTTGCGACAATCTTAGCCTCATTTCAACTAGTCTTCAATTTCGTTGAAGACTTTTTGTTCTTGGATCAAAAAAGACAATTATAAGACTTTTACATACGAATATCCTATTTATCTTTTTGAAATATAAGCTACATATCAGATTCCGACAAGACTATTGATGAAGTATATACTTTGGATGAAATACAAGAYTTAGATGATTTTGGCTTTTGGGAACGGAAACCARATATTGCATTTGGATATTTAATCCATACGTCAAGCTTGGATTATGAATATTTATATCTGAATGAAGTATCAAATCTAAATATTGAATTCAGATACTGTTAGCAAAATCCAATCAGTTGCTCCGAAAACAAAATCTGGATGGGCACTAAATCTTGTCATCAGATGTTACAATCTATAGTAAGAATTCTTCTAAGTGTTGGCTTAGATGTATTTGTATTATTATCAAATCAAATGGTTGAGATAAACACTATATACAAGTTGTAATTTTTAAGTTGGTTCGAGGAAAACCAATTTTTTCCCCTTGTAAGATCATTCGCTTCAATTTTTTTCTAGTTTATTTATGTTCTTAGTTTCTGATTATTGCTTTTGCTCTTCCATTTTGTTTAAAGTATTCACATTTTAAAGTACATAAAATGGGAAAAATCACTTTAGATATTTTTGTTTCAAATTTGGAATATTGTTGCTTTTAAAGTATAGTAATAATATTAATAATACTGGTGGAGGGGAGGGCAACWCGAGCATCCAAATTGGAGGCGTAGGCAGCCTGCCAAAGACCGGCTGGGCAACATGGGCCAGAGATATGAAACACCCGTAAATTTTTTAGAACGACCGGAGAAAACGACCAGGAGAACTGTCAAAAGTTCTAATACAAAAAAAAGTTAGGTGTTTATACAAGAGAAGATACTTTTATGATCTAAGTTTTACAAAAAAAAATGTTAGATATGTCGTCTTTTGACTATGGATAGGGTTTGAATTGGATCATATCGAATCAGATCGTAACGAAATCGAAAAGAAGCAGATTAAATTGATTTGACACTAGTTCAGTTGTTTTCCATTAAAACTAGTTTACTTCTAAATTGGACCGTGAATCAATATATATAAAAGTTTTTTTTTTTAATTTGTAACATAAAAACCTAAAATATAAAATAGAACAAAATATAACAAAGTTTGATTTAGTGAAATGAATAAATTTTTTTTATTTAAGTAATGTAATAATGTTTAAATTTTTTCTATTTTGTATATATCCATTTTAACAAGGAATATATTTAACTTGTAAYTTCATGGTGAAATGGGCAATAAACCTTGACATACACATAATCAAATGTTATAAAATCAACATGTTAACGGTCAAAATTGATGTAAACAGTAAAATTCGAAATTCTGTTACATTAGATAAAAAGTTTT